CACACTGCTTGCCCGCAGTCATTCCAAATAATCTCATTCAAGGTATTACACTCATTCACACAGTGAAATTACCAAGATAAGTTAAGAGTGAAGTCTCATTTTCTCTGCAAAATTTGAAATAAGGCATTAGTTCTAAAAGTTAAATACACAGAAATTCTGATGCACTGCTTACTACATTTACAATTTTAACTAATTTAGTAAACATTTATCACCACTTTTCTAGGAGATTTTGGGGGAAACTACAGTAAATTGGACAAATATCCTGTCCTCAAAGGCATAAGGTATTTGCAGAAGGAACTGGATCACAAAAGATAGAAAAGCAATAGAAAGTAATAAGAGGTTCTGGAAGGGAGATGATCCCTTCCAGTTTTGAAGATTAAGGGATGGCTGCTGGTAGTTCAGCATTTTCCGTTTCACACAGAGTTAAGACTTAAAGTTGACCTGGGATAACTCGTCTCTCTTTTCCTGATTCTTTCCAGATGCAACATAACTAAGACAGCCTCTTCAGCACAGCGGGAAGAGTACCAGGAGAGCTCTCTCCTGCTCTGGGGGTGGGCGGTGGGGGAGTGCTGGGAGAAGGAAGCACAGGAGGATGCTGCCTCTGCTGGCCACCTGGTGTGCCAGCAAGTGGTGCCAGGGCCAGTCCCCAGCCCTGCAAAAGACACGCAGTGAGTAAATGAGAAAAGTGTGATTAGTAGTCAGATTAAGTGAGATCTGTGTGGGAAGTAAAGGCTGGACCGTCCCGTCACAGAGCAGACAGTGATCTGAAGGCTCTTGCTACACTGGTGATGTCACTTACCACACTGTGCAAATTTACAAGAATTTATTTAATCTATTGTGTGGGTTGAAATAATTACATATTTCAATTGAAAATATAAAGAGATGGGGCCAGCCAGGTGGCACAGCGGTTAAGTGCACACATTCTGCTTTGGTGGCCCGGGGTTTGCCAGTTTGGATCCCCGTTGCGCACATGGCACTGCTTGGCAAGCCATGCTGTGGCAGGCGTCCCACATATAAAGTAGAGGAAGATGGGCATGGATGTTAGCTCAGGCCCAGTCTTCCTCAGCAAAAAGAGGAGGATTGGCAGCAGATGTTAGATCAGGGCTAATCTTCCTCAAAAAAAAAAAAAAAAATATATATATATACATATATATATTTAGACTTTTAGCTGAATTTTCTCAGAGCCTACTGGTATCTCAATTCCTATAGAGAGAATATTTTCTTAACTAAAAGTATTATGGTCTACAGAGAGTGCATTGAAGGTGTCAATAATCCCAAATTTATTAATCATACAATAAAACTCTAAAGAAGACTGAGGCAATTTTATGATAAACTAAAATAATAAGATTATATTTTTTAAATCTTCAGATAAATATCAGTGACAAGATAGTAGAGTCAGATACATTAGGAAACTTATTGAAGTATGTAAATATGTACAAAGGGTAATTATTCTGCTAATATTAATGCTCAGAGAATGAATATAAAGGTTTAATTTTGCTCTAAAGAACATGAAAATGGTTTCTATTTTCAGAAAGAATTCTTTCTCTTTGAAAATCATATTAAATAATTAGCTTATAGGTCTACTAATACAAATCCAATTTGTTGGTCAAAGGTACATAAATATATAATTTAATTATATTTTAATGCAACCTTTAACTCTCAAATATATCCTCTTTGGACAAAAGGTATTGTAAGGCCACCCTTTCCATAAACAGTATATACAATTGTTTCAGACTTTACGTATTGACATTTTGCATAAACTGTATCTTGCTGAGCATTCCTTTGCAATTTACTATTTTTTTAACTTAACACTGTGATTTGTAGATTTATTAATGTTGATAGACCCAACTCATTTGTTTTAATTATAGAATTATCACAGACTTATCATAATCCTTTATAAGAATAAAACACTGCTTATTGATCCATTCTCCCATATAAAGACGTCTGTGTTGTTTCTTCTCTTTCACAAACTCAAACAGTCCTGTTATGATCATCTATATAGATGTCTCCTTGTGTATTTGGAATTGCAGAATAGGCATAATTAGTTCATTAATGATTGTGAAGTTGTGAATTGCTCTCTCTAGTGTTTGAATCAATTGTCATTCCCATCATCATGTAAACAAAAACTTATTGTCCTGTATCCTAATCTACATTTCATATTGTCAAAATTTAAAATTTTGGCCTATCCGCTAAGGGTGCAGTATACAATATATATTTTTTTTGAAGAAGAAGATTAGCCCTGAGCTAACATCTGCTGCCAATCCTCCTCTTTTTTTGCTGAGGAAGACTGGGCCTGAGCTAACATCCATGCCCATCTTCCTCTACTTTATATGTGGGACGCCTACCACAGCATGGCTTGACAAGCAATGCATAGATTTGCACCCGGAATCCCAACCGGTGAACCCCAGGCCGCCGAAGCCGAATGTACAAACTTAATCACTGCACCACTGGGCCTACCCTACCATATTGTTGTTTTAATATCCATTTCTCTGATCATTGATGAGACCTTGAGCGTATTTCTATGCTAATTGATCATTGTTTTTTCTTAAATGCTATTTTTATCTACTACTTTGGTTCCTCCTGTTTTTGCACCCATAAAACTAATACCTATTATTTTTTACATCAATATTCATTTAGAATGATCCATATTTACTTGTATATTTGCTGAACATCATCCCTTGCATCCCATTTCTTCATCTTGGGTTCAAACTCATTCTTTCCTGCTGTAAATACTTTAACAGTTCTTTCAGATTGACTGTAAATATTCTCAGCATTTATCTAAAAATATCTGTATCTTCCTCTCATTCTTGAAAAATATTTTTGTTGGGTAAAGAATTCTAAGTCATCAGGTATTTCCTGCAGTCATGTGATATTATTCCACTACAATCTTTCTCTATTATTCCTGTAGGGAGCCATTCAAATCGTTGTTCCATTCTAGGTAATCTCTTTTCTTCATTTGATTTTAATATATCTTCTTTGTCCTTGATGTTTTACTTCCTTTAGGAAGTGAATTTATTTTTATTTATCTTGATCAAGAACGACTGCACGCTTTTTTATTTATCTTTCTTGTGACTGTGTACTCTTGAGTCAGAGAATTTATGCACACTGGAAAACTTTCAGCCATTCTCTTTGAAAATTATCTCCCTTCTCTGTTCTCTATTCTCCTATAATGGAATTCCTGTTAGATATATGATCACCCATCTCATTCCAAACTCCTAGTTTCTTAAAACTATTTTTTACCTTTTAACTTGTGTCACATTATGGGCAATTCCCTCATATTTACCTTCCAGTTCACTAATTCCCCCTTTGGCTTTTCCCAGTTAGCAGTTTTAACTCATCCATTGAGGATTATATTTTTATCCCAGGAGCTAAAATTATCTTCCATTCAATAGCAATCTTTTTCTATTATGTCTGTTTTGTGTTTTAGGTTTCAAGTTTTTCTTTTCTGCTTTAATTAACATAAAACATTTTTCTTTGTATTATCTTTCAACTTATTTTATTTTCTCAAGTTTCGGGGGGAACCAATCTTCCATTTTTTGGTGTGTGCTCACATCCACTGAGGGAGGACATTCCTTTGTTTGATTTTATAATGTTTGATCATGAGTACTCCCTTTAGTAGGGACTGTTTTTCTCTGGAGGCATCAATGCCATGTCACCTGAGTGTTCTCTGGAAGGACTTTATGTATGTTCTACTTGAAACATCAGATGTGCCATAACAGTGGGATTGATATTTATATTAACTTCTCATTCTGGACCGTATAGGTACTGCAGATGTTTAGATTTATCTAATTTCTCCTCATTTCTTACTTTTTTTTCCCACTTCTCACATTTTCTTTTAGTCTCCTAGGTGCCCATTGTATGTGAAGGATGGCCTTCCTTCCCTCCACAATACATCAGGACCACCAGAACATCAGCTCATGCATTTAAATTTGGGTTTTATCCAATCCTCTATTTAAAGACAGCTGGGGCCAGCCTCGTGACACAGCAGTTAAGTCTGGCGTGCTCTGGTCTGTCATTAACCTGGCAGCCCAGGTTCATGGGTTTGGATCATGGGCATGGACCTACACCACTCATCAAGCCATAACATGGAGGCTGTGTTGTTTCTACTTTTTCACTCGTCCCTAGAAAATTTCCTTCTTTTATTTGCAGTCTCACCCGTGATTTTCAAAAATTTATTAAATATTATTTTAGGCCTCCATCTTTCTGGTTCCAGAACTCTCTGACACTATGAAAGCCATGCTAGCTCAGGACTGTCTATGTCTTTACTTACTGTATGTGGGAGAAAAATAAACTTCTACCTTGTAAAGTCGCTGATATTATTTTGTGTTTTCTGTCACACAGTCAAAAATAATCCTGTTACACATTTGACTGTTTAGATTGGAGAATAAAATACTAAGGGAAACATTAATATTGTCAAAATAACAAAGGGATCACCATCCTTGCTAAAGAAAAGGATTTTTGAAATGGGTTGTAACATAGAGAGAAGGAAGGACATTTCACAGAAAGGACGTTATCGACATTGTAACCTGTTTTCTTAGCAGCTGCAGATGACTAACATTACCTCTGATGTTCTCTTTCTGCTTTTTAAAATCTCTTTACATCATCAGGAACATAATCAACCAAAATGTGTTTTAAGAAAATAAGAAGCAGAAGAAAAGAAAGGCAAATGTTGAGAGGGACGGGTATGCATCATAATCATACATTTTGACTTAGCACAAGATAGCACAAGTCCCCAGCACCCCTAGCTCTTGAAAAAAAATACTGTCATCATGGCCCTGACACATTCTCCATCCCTTATGTTCACTCTAATATGACTACTCTGCTCCATTGTACTTATTAAATGTATTCACCTCAATTTTTACATTTGAGTACTCACCTTCCAGTGCTGTCTCCTTCTAGAACTCATCATGAACTAAATAGATACATAGGGAGGCCCTTCTCCATAGACACTTTACTACACAAAAAGCTTTACTGGCCACAGACAGTGTTTTTACAATTACCTGGCCTTCCAGGTGGCGGGACATCATTCTCGCAGTCACTGTTCAGAATAACAGCCAGGCCCACCGAGTGGGTGGGGAGGATGGAGCTGCTGAGGTCCACACGCGTTAAGCTCTCAGGTTCCCTCTCAGAGCCCCCCATGGCAGCACTTTGTGGCTTGTCCCCTCCAGGTGTGTTCGTTTCTTGGTCTTTTCTCTGGGGTCTCAGCACAACGTGAACGATGCTCTGCTGGTCCAGGTCACAGCTCTATGTGGCAGAGAGGTGAAAACACACAAGAAAGGGGCGAGCATGAAAATATCAGATAAAGATAAACTTGTCCTCAGTCCTAGAGCATGCAATTATCCTAAAATCTGTTTAGGTATGAGATCCATGTGGCGTCATGGAGCGTAAAGGAGGGTGACAGGTATGACTGATCCAGTTAGGCAGACTTATCCTGCCAGCAGGGCCACAGCACTCATACATATGTGTGTTACACAGCTACACTGAACTAGGGCCAGAAACCGAAACGTGGGGCTAGACGGAACACGACAACAAAAAATTAAAGTAATAGTCAAAGGGACATGAAATCTACTAGGAAAAAACTGCATACGTAAGCATGGTGAAAAATACTACTCTTTTAAAATTAATTTATTTCAGAAATATGTGCTCTTAATTACCAAATTTAAATATTGGCATTCCTTTCTGTTTTAAAAAGTACTGAGAGTTGTTATTATCCATTACTAGTCATTTTTCTCTAGAATTTACAATAAATGTGTTCACGGTGGAGTCCACATACACCACCTGTGTCGCTAGCAAACACATCATCACACCAATGGGGAAGCAACTGACAGCACATGGATGTGACTCCACCCCAAGGGTCATCACTGTTTCATCCAATTTCACAGTTAAAATCAACGAACATCTACAACAATGTTCTGTATCTATATACTCACGTGTACGAACAGGACACTTGAAAATTTAGTAAAGTTAGAAGTCAGATCATTTGCTAGCACAAAAACCAGATTACTTTAAATCAAATCCCAATTTCAGAATATCTGCTGGATAGAAACAATCATTCATCTGTCTGCGACCTTCTTCCCACAGAGTAAGAGTTTACTCTCTCAAGAAAGCCCTGAATCTCAACATCTTCAAATTACCTCTTGCCTCTCTCTCTCATCTTAGCAATGTTCAGAGGACATCCATGCAAACACAAGGATACTAATAACAATAATAAATTCTGCCCCCTCATCCGCTGCCCCACCCAGCGCTCCATAGTCATCACTATCAAGCTTTTAAGAGTGGTGGCCCTCATCCATAGGCAATTCCTGCCTGAACACCACTGCTTGGTGTCTGCCTCCTCAACTCAGGAAGGTCACCAGGATGCCCTCTGGCCCTAAATCCCATTTCTACCTCTTCTCCATCCCATGCCCTGGACCTCTGTCACTCTAACACACTTGCCCGCCCTGCTGCCTGTCCTCATAGCTCTGTTTCTCTCCCCAGGACAGCTCCCGCTCAGCAGTGGTCACTAGTTCATCATTCTCTGTTCCCACAGTCCACTCCTACCTGACCTCCCTATTTCTGTCAAAGCACCATCAACTTCTGCATTATCCAGGTGTCAGGCCCTCCTCTCCCACCTAAAACTCTGATTATCCTCCCATATTTTCTAAAGGCGTCAATGGAATCATCACCTTGGACTCTGCCTTCCTCTGTTACATCCAGCAAGATGTAACACATTCTGACTCAGAAATAGCCTTCAGCATTTTTATATCCCAGTTATTACCTTTCCATCTGAGGCCTCCATCATTACAATAGCTGTGTAATTACTCCCTCACCTCTTCTCTCTCCCTACAATCCATTATGTACAAGAGTTTGTGGCATGTGCTGCATCATCTTTCTAAAGTGTCTCACAATTACCTGTGAAATCGAATCTAACATCTTACTACCTTCTTCAACTGTGGATAGACTTTTCTCCTTTTAGACCAAGTGGTTTATGATTTTTATCTTCTTCACCTCCCCTTCATTGTATATGTGGTAGATTAGCTTATTCTTCAAAAATATTCACTCTTATCTTCCCTCCTCCTGCCATTGATTTTGGGCTTAGCCACGTGATCGGCTTTGACCAACGGGACATTAGCAGCTATGACTGAACCAGAGCCTTAAAATGTATTTGCACCACTGCCATAGCCATCCAAAGCGCACCCCTGGGTAGTGCCTGCCTCTTCAGCCTGGGCGCCAGAATTGCACATGCGGCACAGCCCTGAGCCTGACCCACAGGGAGGACCAAGCGCAGCCACACCCACAGCTTGAACAGAGCCTTCCCACTGAATGCAGGCTGGGGACCCTTCAGACCCCCAGCTGACCTGAAGACACGCAGAACAGAGACACTTATTAATGTATGGCACCGAGATTTTGTGGTTGTCACTAAGCAGTAATAGCTGACAATACTCTATTTTCCATTCTGAGTGGACTAATTGACGTCTTATCATTATTTATCATCACATCAGTGCTCAGCCAGCACTCTAGGAATTGTACATAGCCTTTAGCCTAAGTAATTTCACACAAACTGACATCAAGATCTGAGTACACTCAAGGGTGGGCACGTGAGGACAGGGGCTTTGCAACAACAAGAAACAGTTGAGAATGAGCATCTTCATATATCCTGAGGTTTTTATCCACATGTGTCCTTTTCAAGGAGCCTCAAGAATTTGGTCAGATGCAATTCCCCTCTCCACATTCAGGGCTTGTGTGCTTCATGTTATCATCCCAGATGAAAGCAATGCCTTCCGCTCTCATCTGAATGCCAACCGTCTCTGCCTGTCATGCTCTTTTTATTGCAGTGGTCAGAGCTTGGACAGGATGTGTGTGGGGAGTGAGTGTGTGTGTGTGGGTCTGATCTTGTGACTTAATTTAGGAATTCTTGAGAGCAACGACTGGTTCATATTTATCTTTTTATTTACCAGAACGCCTGAGACAGTGCTTTGAAGCTAGTAGATATGAAAAATATGTCTGTCAATTGAAAAGGTGAATGACTGAAGGGCAACAAGAATGAAAGAACGAACAAATATAAATAGTCATAAGTTCAATGCCCAAAGTGCTCCATGGGGAATCAGGAGAATGTGGAAGAAAGAACATGGAATTTAAAGTCATTTAGACTCAAGCCTGATGTAATTTATTAGCTGTACGATTTTGGCAAATTACTTTTCTTCCCTAAGCTTCAATTTCTACATCTGTCATTGGCAATAATATTACCAACTTTGAAGACTGCTCTGAAGATTTAAGGGGATATAAAGAGTGCACACCTCGATCCACAGTAATAACTCAGTACGTACTTTTAGTATCGTTAGCATCATTTACGAGTTTTGAAAACTAAAGAGGATGGGTCCCTTGTCTGTGCATCAACAATGCCTCAGAATCCTATTTGGCTGCTCCACTCACACAATCCTATTTGGAAAATGTACAAAGAAGGTGGAATAAACAGAACCTACAGATATGACAATTATTCTGGTAGCACTCCAGCTTTCTGTAAACTAAACATTTATACCAAAAAACATCCCTAGATGCTCAGATGCCATGAAACACATGAAGAACCGGAGCTAATTCTCTGGGGCTGCTAAAATTTCACAAATATGGAAGAAATTCAAAAACTGAGATTTTCCTTTCAAATTCAAATTTTCCTAATGCTCAGGGTACAGCTGCAAACGGGATTAGGAAGACCCCAAACAGATTTCAGTTACAGTGCTGTTTACAGAACTCATTTCCCTCAGTCTCCTTCCATGGCTCTGTGACCATTCATTGCTTAATTCTTTGACTCCCTGGTAGAAACACTGATCCGGGAAGCAGCTCCTTTGCCAGATCACACAACTGCACCATCATGCTAGTTCAGCTCAAAGCCACGTTAATAACACATCCTACGGACAACAAATTGGATAACACTCAGTGCTTTAGCCACTGCAATGCCCAAAATAATATTCAGTTTTCATGGTATACAAATAATTCCTCAGCTTTGTGAGGTAGAGATTTTCAGCGGGAAGACAGTAGAGTTCTCCAATAAGGTTTTAAGCTTTCTCAGGGCAAAAACAATCTCTTATTTATCTTAATTTCTTCAATAACTAGAATATTGCCTGGCAAAGAGGAAACACAATACATTTGTATGTTTTTTGTGTTTTAATAACAACGTATTAATTCAACAAGTAAGGCAGTGACATAAGTTGTTTAGTGTGGACAAAATAAGTAGGTATTCATCCAACTGGGCTTGGTCTCATGCTGCCAAGAAGAACTATTGCCCCATTGGGGACTGAGACATCAGTATCTTGGACTTTCTTTATACAGAATTTTAAATTTGGAGATACCCCAGTATTAATAAAATATCTACAGGAGTGGTTTGCCATCCAAGACCAACTCTCGCCCAACTGGCCATTATTCAATAATACACAAGACATTGATGTATTTTTCTTTTTCTAAAAAGGAATCCCTTTGATACAGGTATTAGGATTCAAATATTTGAGAGCCTGGTAATACAATTAGAACACTGGAAATAAGCAAAATTTGAAAAACCTGATAATGCTTTTCAAAATATTCTTAACCATTTAAACCTTGTAAAATTAAGTAATGTTACTCTAACAAGAAAAATTACTAGGGGTTGAAAAGCTATTGGAATGTTTTCCAAACATGCAGAGAAGGGTTAGATGGATAGTTTCTAAAATGATTAATAATGAGATTGAAAAATAGTTAATAAGGTCACATTATTCAAAAAGTGCTTTCATGTGCTATAACAACAACAATTACATTAATAATAAAAGTAAAATAAATACATAATATTTTGAGCTCTAACTAGCCTGTGGACTGTGTTACAAGGTCTTTAGATGTAATAAGTTGTTTAATATTTTCATAATCCTCTTAGGGAGCTACTTGTGAGTTATGTGTAAAGCCAGGAGAACTGAGCCTGGCACAAATAAAGCTCTTTAAACATTACTTGTTGTCACTGTTTTTCATTTCATTTCCATTTTACAGAAATGAAGGTGAGCCACAGAGAAGTTTATAACAGGTTCAATGTCACCCAGCTCCTAAGTGCAAAGCCAGGATAGGAATCCAGGCTGAGGACTCCCCGATATCCTTCCTTGAGCTCCCGATCTCCACAGTGTGGCTGCTGAAAGGAAGTGGGGTGGTGGATGGGACAGACAGAGGGCAAGTCTACAGGGGTCATAGTGAAGAACAGGGTTTGGAAGCTGCCATGCGTCTGCCCCAGGCACAAAGGAATGATTAGGAGA